ATTTTAGATACATTATTCGTCGGACAAATTCGTACCTAGATATTTTAGCAGATCGCACAACCTCTACGATAGATGACACTTTTATGCCAGCTTCAATATTACATTTAAGATGATGACACGAAGATTCGGTAGACTACAACAACCAAATCGTCTCCACATAAGACGAATTATCCGCCTGTTACAAAACTCTGCAAAGCATGCATGCATGAAAGGAATCCATTTTCCGCATATAAACTCGCGAAACACAACCTTTCTGTCCTCACTCCATAAAACTCAATCCCTCCCGAACGAATTGCTCGAGACCAGTTAAGCCAGTATATGAATAATGCTCGCAGATCGTGATCAGTTACGGTTATCGCTCACCTCCCTTAATAATCCATTTAACTTAGGCATTCGAATCAGATAACGTAGCTCGCTTCGATATTCACACACAACCCAATGACGTAGCAAGGACCGCGTTAATTTATGCTCATCCGTACGGATTCGAATGTATGAATTAGTTTTCAGCGCTCTATTATCAGATGAAATCCAGTCGGGGATTATGAATATAAATTTAAAGCAAAGAGGGAATATTCCATGTATCTCACGATAGATTTTTATCATTACATAAATAAGTTCTTCATTAACAACAGACTCAAGCACGAAAAAGAATATTAAAAGAAATAAAAACTTTGAAGAGCTAATTATGAAAGAATAGACACTTCAATAACTGGCTTAGGAAAATAATTAATTGTTTTGATGAAAAATATTATCATATATTTGGCAACAGCGATTTCAGAAAATGCGTTATACTTTAAGGATATTCCTTCAAATTTATATAGTCGCAGTATACTCTTACAAAGGTATTCTATTCTCTTTTTTTTTGGGTCCTGTTAATAAACAGACCGATATATATATATATATATATATATATATATATATAACTATATATATATATATAAATTTAATTATTACTATTTTATTTTCGATTATTCCCTAAGAGGAGTAAACACTCTTCTAAAATGAGTCTTAATAAAAGTTAAGTCCTTAGAAGATTGAGATAAAACTATGGGAAAATTACCAAGCAGAAGTTTTAAATTGTAATGGAAAAAGACATGATACTGTAAAATTCAAATCGAAAGAAAATTAATTATTGTTGATCCTATGAAAAAAAAGGTTGACTTTTCAAGGGGATGTTTCTTTCAAGGGCAATTTTCATTTTCCACAAAATACACAATAATTAAGGAATGATCGCGTTTCGTCTTCTTCGTATATTTTAATGATTTTTTTCTTTAAACCTACGACTTATAATATGCTCAGATTTAAATTAAAAATTTTCAAATACTCGAAGGAATTCCCCGACGCGATCTCATTCGACATATTTATAAATTTATAAAATATTTTTTAACTGAAAACTAGTAAATATAAAGAGAAGAACAAATTTAAAAACATGTCGATAGTTAATATAAACAAACATTACTAATTTATGCAATTTTAAAAGTCGCATATCACACTGACTATATCTATATATACGTTTTGACCAAAAATGCAATTTGAATTTTGACGTCTTAACAGCGGTAGCGCTAATTTTTTTCTCCTTTAAAATCCATTTAGGTTTCTTTGCTTACTTACTCACTCTATATATACTCACATATGTTTGGTGCAACCGACTGCAACGAAAAAGGGAGGTGCACAACTATATGTTATAGTAGTCCCATATACAAAATGTCAACGTTATACGACTTCACGATTTTGAGTTATGCGAGATACACACATACGTACGTACAGACATTACGAAAAAATCTCTTCTGAATCATTTTAGATCTATTTTGCAATCCATTTTGGAAAAAAGGTCCTTTATTCTATCCGTGCGTACAAATATCAAGCAAAACAATCCTTCAAATGATTCGAGAGCGGTCAAAATAGATAATTTTTGGAAATATAATATCCAAAATTTTTCGAATTACAATACTTCTTTTACTTAGTACAAGGAATTAAAAATGCATACATCGAATTAAAAATATTTTTCATTGCATTATTTATATTGTCGTTGCAAATAATAAAAATAAACCTAAATTGCTGCAGCAAAATCGCTGAACACTGGTAGTTCGATTTGGATTTTAATTCCAGGGAACAGGATAGCTGCACTGGAATGCTCGTGCAATAAGAGTTCTAAGTCTGAAGTGAATGTGAATCAGTTTTCCTTGAAACATCCCCTACAATGTAAATAGTCAGAGGTGTCAAAGAAGCGAAGAATGCATTAATAATTTATGGGGATTGAGTATAGTGTTTTAAAATATGATTACGTGTAAAAAATGCATAGTTAACTATTACAGATTAGTGTAAGTGAATTATTATAAAAATATAACCTTTTTCACTGTTTTAAATTAACATTTAAATCATTACAAATGCCTTAAAATTCTGATTGTTACTTTTATAACACTTATAATGTTTTATATTGTAATTATACAATATTTCAATTTTTTCACTTGCATCAGAATGCGTTTAATTTACATTTTTACTTTTTACATAAGAATTAAGCTTTTCCCTCTTACTCATCTTAGCACTATTTATATAAATTCTCTTCTTTCTTTTCCAGTTTCTTACGTCTTATTACTATTTACATTCTTCTAAATGGTATGCTTTTCTGACATTACTTTAATACTCCATGAAGGAAGATTTATGTCTTGATGTAAATCTCTTTTTTTTTCTAATACAAAACGTGTTTACTTTGCAAAAACTGATGTTTCTAAGTGCACCTCCAGCTACCAGTAAAAATTAAATCTAATGGAGCTGAAACAGTACAACACACTGAGTATTTCATTAAATGAACGTCTGCAGTATGGAATGAAACTTAAGTATGTTCGTAAGTAAATTAAAATTAGATTGAAATAATCCATATTTTTACGATACTTTTAAACAGTAACTTCTTTATAAATTCCGTAGAGGTATTAATCATACAAAGTCAGTTAATTCCTACGGCAATTATTTTTTTATTTGAAGTATATGCAAAGTTCTATGTTAAGGTAAACTTACAAAAGAAAGATTACTAATGAATATTTGCAATAGTTTGAAAGGATAAACAAAAAATAGGCATTGCAACATATAATAAAGTTTTTGCTATGTGTAATAAATGTATTTTTGCATATTAAATAGCTACAGAAATAATAGACGAGCTCTTGAAATTAGTCTAATGAAAAATAGCGAAAGTGTTATGCTACGTATTGAGAAATATTATGAAGGGAAATATATGAAATGGTATTAATAAACACGAAAGTGGGCTAAATTCTAAATTTATGTTTGATAAGTGAGTCAAGTTTAGGACACAGAACATTATGCTTATATTATAAAAATATCAATGAAAAATAAAATTAAACAACAATAGTGATATAAATATAAAATACCTGGCACTATAAGCATCTGTTATTAATTACAATACTAGCGAAAAATTTATGTAACAATTATAAAGAATATCATTAATCACATGAAGTCGTTCAATTAGAAATCAGTTGAATTACATCCAGTTAGAGATATAACAACATGATTTAATGAATATGTTTCTTCTCAAATAATTTCATCGAAGCTTGGAAACCAGATTGGAAAATTCACGCGCACTAAATATCATTCTGGACCAATATATATAATATAAGGCGTTAGAAATAGCTTCTGTTAACTAGAGTTATGGGACAAGCGTTTATAAAATTATCGTTTAAATATAAATCGCATGAATATAATACAACATACATTTTCTTAAACATACATGAACATAAAAAACATACATGAAACAGAAGTGGACGAAATTAAAAATCCCGTGATATGAAGTGCATGGCGTTAGAAACTCTTTATATTAATTGTGAAAATGTTGCAAATGTTCAAAATTATACATTCTATTTGTTATAAATAAAATGTATTTAAAATTATATCAATTAAATATGAAGTTGAGGAAACAAATAAATATTTAAATGTTTCGAATATTAAAATGAGGGATCTGCAACACAGTTAAATAATTTAGAATAATCTCAATGATAAAAATAAAAATAAATAATAGTTTAATAATACATATGTACAGCAATATTGGGTGAGTTTAGACTGTTGAATAAACTGAATTGTAAGATTTAATAAAATGAATTTTTAAACCCGAATCAGCACTATTTACATAAAATCGTAAATTAATAATACATTAAAATCATTATATTATCAATGGAGATATGTTAATATTTATCTAGAAAGAAAGATATTATAAACTGCTTGGCAAGCAGATATAAATACCTTCTCTCAGTTCAATAACTGATCCGTTAATTAAATTTGTGTAAAAAATTATGAGAATTGTCAATTATGTCTATTTCTACGAACCCTATTGAACCAAAGTTACTAATCATGCCGCCGAAGAATTATGTAGAAATTCAAAGTCAAATACGTGAGCGTACATGTCGGCGAGCTGTAACTGTGATGGGGATATAAGCGCACTAAGTGTTTTCGGCGTTTTGTCTGCTCGCATTCCATCATGACTTTCGCCGTGTTTCTTGCAAGAACTGGGTAGATGTTATAAGGCATCAGGTGAAATGAGTAGCCAGGGACGTATAGATGATGGAATGATATGACGAATTGTCGGTAGATTGGAAGCAGACAATGACAAGCGCAGATGTCTAGATAGCTCAATGTATCGCTCAATTTCATCTGCAGATTGTGAGAACACTTTCACAGCACTGGCTCCATTTAGAGAAGGCTTGGCCAAGGTCAGCCAAGATCCAAAATGACATATGATCTTTACTTGGCACTTTCAGCGCGGTGACACAGGACTGCTACAGTTTCAGCACTCTCACGTGTGAACTATGTGCTGTCATTGGAACGCGAGTTTCACGGTCTAGTTACCCGAATGCTTCATGAAATAGGGCTGAATGGTCAAAAGACCGGTTGTGGGTGTCCCGCTCACCGCAGCAAACAAGTGAGAACGTTTATCATGGTGCAGACAAAATGCGCCTTCGACCAGATTTCAGTGCAGCACCGTTCTTTGTACATACCAGACGAGATTCAGCCCGGACACTGCTTCTCGACGTATGTGTATCTGGAGGGAGCTTGGACACTGCTTCTCGAAGTGTGTGTATCTGGAGGGAGCCTGGAACAGGATACGATCCCTCCTTCATCAGGAATAGAAATCATCCCGAGGATGGAGATGTAATGGTTTTCGCCGGCATTACGTTGGAGGGCCATACATCCCTGCATGTGTTTGACAAAGGCTTTCCTAACTGCTATGAGGTATAGAGCACATCCTAAAGCCCTATGTTCATCTTTTCAGGAGCGAAGTTGGTCATGGGTTCCTATAAATGGGAGACAACGGTTGTCCACATAGGGCTCAGCTGGTCGACGATTACGTAGAAATTGAGGATATTCACTGCATCTCGCCATTCCCCTCTGACAGCCATTCCAGAATTGAAAGCTTCCTTGCTTCAAGAATGGGATCGATTGCCAAAAGATCTCCTCAACTGCCTCCTGCCCAGTATTCCGCCACGCTGCGTAAGTGGTCTGGATGTCAAAGAAAATTATACGCTACATTTGACTCATTTTCATTTCGATATCGTAATATGGATTTTGGGAATCCCTAAGCTATATGTTTTGTTGATAATAGTGCATACATAAAATTAATTTTGAAGGGTACATGTTATGTTTAAATGGTGGAATAAAAATACATTGGAAAGTAATATAAAATTAGACATTCCAAATCAGCAGACTAATTTTATTCCCCCCATTTTCTATAACATGCCTATGTAGTAAAAACAAATACATTAAAAATATATCATAAAAGCATATAAATACTAATGTTATGTAAGTAAAATTGTAAATAAATAAAAGTAATTTAGTTTCCATAATTAACCCCAAACTTGAGAGGTCTTTTTAGCCAAATGCTCAATGTCTGCTTCTATACTTGATACACAGGAGATAAAAAGAACTGTTCATCTGTCAAAAGATACCTTATTTATTCACGACTAAGCGATCGTTACAATGTGAGTATTATTAAACATTCGATACAGTTTGACACAGGTAATTAAAATTAAAACACTTTATCAAGGACTAAAATAAATTTCTTCCTTTAGACGTTACTTTAAAAATTGACAAGTTGACGTGGCATAATATCCCAGGTTGGTTAGGTAAAATGTCACAGTTTGCTTGGCTGATCTTGTCATGGGTGAAAAGGGAGGATGATACTATTCCTAAAGTATTTCTTTATTTCTGAATATTTTATTTCCTGATAGATTTATTTTTATTTCTAAATATTTTAAATTTCCAGACTTTATGGAGAACCACATTAAAACTTTCGACATACCGAATTGTGTACTCCATGTCATACGTTGGATAGGTAACAGTAAACCCTTTCAAATTCCTGTTCGTATATGCTTTGGCAAATAACTACATGCAACAGCCTATACTGAAAATTTAGAGAGACACCAAATATCGCAAGCGTATTATTTAGTGCTTGGCGCCTCAAAGCATTAAATTTTGAGACTGGCACAATTATGTAGTTTACTAATTTTCTAGTCTTGTAGTTAGAGAAGTTGAAGTCGCATAAATGGGTTCAACATTATCTTCCCCCAAGATCTGATTGACGTTTCGGTATTAGAGTTTAATTTTCCAGCAGACGAGTTGGCAGTTGAAGCTACGTAAATTTTGCATAACCCTAGCTGAAGGCATCAGACTAGGATAGCTCATGCATATCAAACACGCCTTGCAGTCATATATATTGTTTACTATAATGCTTTAACAAATGTTCCCAGAAGAGGAAAGTGTTTTAGAGAGTCCGAATTCCTGTAGATTTCCTAATATTAAAGACATGTTTGCCTAAGTTTTAGTACCTCAGGAAAGTTGAATGTAAAACAGGTGTAAAATTAAGTACTAAAATACAGCCGTTGTGAATAATTACGTTGCCTTACGAAATATTATGCATGAAAGAGCAATGTTTAAAATTATGAAAAGTCATAGTATTTATTGCCTGTTGTTAACCTATGAAAGTTTGGTATGTAGGAAGGAAAATACTACAAATGTTCATAATTGTCAATTCTATGCATTATAAATACAATATATTTAAAATTATATCAATTATAGATGTAATTATTTAAACTTTCACCTATTTCTGTTATGTGTCTGTCAGTGAGAGGGCAAATAAAATTAAGATACGTGAATAATTTTCCTAAGTTTGACTCCCGTTAATAGCATAAGCTGATTGCATAGGATTACATAACCTTCCTCCGATGTAACACAAATGAGAACCTAAGTGTCCTTAGAGGATACTTAGACTTCTTTACCAGGACATCCATTGTTCCGCTGGGTTTCGAACCAGAATTTTCCAACTTGGTAAACTGGAACCACTTCCGACACGAGGGATGCTAACCAGTTACTCTACGAAAGTACGCAATAGGGAATTCGATAATTCATTGCAAACTAATTTTAAACCTTGTTTTATTCATAACATTATTAAATTATCGGATGTTTTACTTGAACTTTAGGGTGTTATTCGTTTGAATTATTCCAAATCCTCAATTAAACAACTAATTTGCTGTTAGTCTGCTTCACGGAGATGGAATTTCATACACCTTTCTGAAAATGCTGCGTTTTATTTATGTATATTAAGTTATGTGAATATGGCAAAGCACTCGAGAATTATGTACGTTTATTTCTAAAAGAGGAAACGGCAATTTTGCTAAAAATATTGCCTTTAGCTGCTAAGACATCGAATAGCATTTGCAAACTAGTGTGAAACGAAACATTTCAGCAATTCTCTGAAATTGAAGATTTATTTCGAATACGACAACGAGAGAGATTTCAAGAAATATTTGCAGAGTATTTTATTTAATTCTCTTTTAAGGAAATTTTCTGATTCACTGGGTTCTGAATAAATTTCATTAAATGGTTCAGTGCAAACCTTAAAAGTCTGCAAGATATGAAAGGCTAAAATTCTGCGTTACGTATTTCTAAGTAAAATATTTATTTCGCATACGGAATTCAAAATATATATTTGGCGAATTACCGTACTTTTTCACTAAAACACTCATTCGCTGCTTTAAATCTATATGCATAATGCTATGTTATTTTATTCCTCAAATTATGTTCTATAATTTTTCATCAGATGTTCAACATTTTGGTTACTAATTAATGAATGTAATAAATCATTTAAAAGCGAATGATTAAACGCGTGCTTTGCTTAATATTAGATTGCTTAATATTTAATGCTTAATATTAGATTATTATTTGCGTTATTTTGTTTGATTGAGTTGCTAATTAGTCTAGAAAAGAGTTTTTTAATTAAAAAAAAATATTTCCTTGTAACTAATTTTCATAACGTAATTTAGGGTAGATCTAAGTTCCTGTTCAAAAAGATATTAAATACTTCTGTTATTTAATAAGCTAATAATTTCGTGACACAAGAATTTGTCCCATCTAAGCAATATAAAACCCAATGACATATTATTATGAATAAATTCAAAAACAATCATTAATTAAATACTTTTCATTCTTCTTAAGAACTTTTCTCTTAATTCATTTTAACAATGTATTCTGACTGCACTTATATTTGTATTTAATACTGTTTAACGGCGTCTCAGAGCTGATGAGCTAAGCATATGAAGATGCTTTAGTTACGTTCACAATAATTCGGTGAAACGAGAAAACTAATGACTGCCTACTGCTTTCAAATATATTGATTCATTTGAACATTTGAACACTTCAAAACACATTATTGTGCTTTTGAATTAACTGACTGTGGATTTAAATACTATTAATTAAATGCACATTTTCAGGAAGCATTACGGTACTTTTAGATAGCCCGATTTTGCAAATAAATATGTAATTTTACTACTTTGAAACTATTTTCCAAACCATATAACAGATTTAATTGCACGCTTTAGTGACACAGTATGACATTTATAAAAGTTATGTTTCATTACAATATAGTACAAGTATATTACATAAATGTATACTTTGTAATTGATAAGAAAACTTGCAGCGGATTGGAATCATTTTAATAATGTACGATAGCTGAGCTCAGTTTTAAAATTTAGAGGGGGGAACGAGAATTAGTAGTCCTAATTATGGTCTGAAAAAATTTCAAAGGAAAAACAAAAAAAAATGTTTTTTTTTTCCTTTGACTATCAAAGAAAGAAAAAAATTTCTTTTTTTTTTTCTTTGACTATCAAAAGGTAATGTCAGCTTTTCTGAATAGTTATTCCGAAAGAAATATAGAGATTCCAAAGATGTCTTAGAGTTTCAAGACGCTTCGGCTGAATTTTACATAGATTATTTCAGTTATTTTTTATGTTATATTTTGTTCTTATTAAATTCATTTGATATAACAGTTCTTGCGAAATGAACTGTTTAGCTTTAAAAGGTGAATTAATATATTACTGTAATCATTTTGTAAAGCTTTTAATTAAAAGACGCGTAAACAATGAATTGTTAAATAGAAAATCGGCGGAAACTTATAGAAAATGACACGCCTTTCTACCTAAAAAATCATTGTTTCTTCTTATTAGACTGCTAATAAAAAATAAAAATAATACATTCAATTTAAGACTACCTTACAACCGTTATGTTATAGCTATTAAGCATGCTTGCTTGTTTTGAAATTAATGTGTGAATGTAACAGATGGTAATGTTCAAAAGCATCCATTAGTCTTTAGGTCAGCTAAGATTCTCCTTTTGCATGCAGCTGCTTAATTTTGTCTTTCGTTCGTTCGTACTTTCTTTTTCTTTGTCACTGAAACATGCTTCAGAATCATAAGCATTTACAAGGGCTTAAAAAGGGATATAAAGCTCCACCAGTGGCCGAGTGGTTAAGAGAGCTGAATACTCTTAGTTAGCTGAAGTAGTTGGATCCAGTTTTGGTTCAAACCCTGGTAAGCAGGCTAGCTGCAGGGTTGGGTTTAATGGTTTCTACACGTATAACGTGATTACGAGCCGGCTTTCTTTGGAAAATCCTCTATGAAGGTATCCCTCCTCTTAGACAGATAACACTCGTATTCAAATATCTAACCTAATATAAGAAGAGATTTGAGATAATCTGCGTAACACAACGTACATTGAAATGCAAACCTAAGTAATTTTTTGTGGCATTTTATGTATCCACATTCGTTTTATAATTCGACATACACGACAA